CACACACACACACACACACACACACACATACACACACTGACAGGGTCGTTGCAATATGCGTTTTCGCTGCCTGTTGCTGCGCTTTAGCGCTGCACGGCAAAAACGCATAAAAATGTATTTAGAAAAGCGAGCAAAACAAAAAAAAAAAATTCGGAAAAGCTTAAGTTCTAGAACACAGAAGGAAACACTGATAACTCGAAAACTGAAAAAGGAAAAAGAATAAAGCACAGGAATAATCAATGTTCACGTATGCAAGCAAACCTAAAATTTTCCTTAAAGAAGTGAGAATAAAGTAAGGTCGGGTGGGCTGGAAAATACTGCCCACCTGAGCAATACATAAAGCATTTGTAAAATTAAATTAAACTGTACGAATGTAGGAGGATCAAGCCAAAGTAAACACCCACTTCGCAATCACTCTCAGTGAGAGTTAAATTGGAGCTCGCGTGACACGCTGCTAAAGACGCCCGAAACCGTTCGTCCGAAAAATGTTTAGAAGTCAGTTGTTTAGAAGTCGGTTTTATTTCCGGCCATGTAACAGTACCAGGGAGTCGTTGAAACAAAGAAATGAGCCATACTGGCATCGCTTATCGCCATTAAAGCAGTTATGGCTGTATAAAATATTCGTCGACAAATATACAAAGAGGATATTTACTTCAAGCAATTCTAGCAACATAAAAACGCGTAAAAAATGAAAAGTCATTACTTTTATATAGCCATCCAAGCCAGAAGTAACAAAACATGTGGCATCTGTTGGGTGCCAAGCAAGACAGGACACTTTTTGGACATGTGCTGAGAGAGTTCGTACTGGTATCTTGGCATTCTATAATAAAATGAAATATTTGATCCGCTTTTAAACTGATTAAATTCAAACGCATTGATTTGAACAAACAGAAGTGTCATTATAATCAAGCCAAAAAAATAAATGAAAGATGTGCAAGGGCGCTACAGTAAGATTAGACTTGTAAGTTAGCGTGTTACTAATAATATGTGCGTCATCATGAACAACCAATATGCCGGTTCTCCTAGAGCATCAATACCACCCCAACAACAATCGCTGTGAATACTCCATGCTGCTGTTTTACAAGCGCAGTGCAGCTGTGCAAGATTTTTCGATGCTGAGGTGCACACTTTCAATTAGCAATTACCGCCTGTTGCACAAGGTCACATACGTTGTCCGCTTCCATTCTCAGGGCACAACACAACAGCAAATGCAAGCATTTAGTGCAGGCAGCAAGTAACGACCAATACAAATACAGCTGAGAACGACCGCTCTCGTATAGGTACGCCCTATGTACACGGGCATCTTAGTAACACCGATCCCCACATCGGTTTAAAAGTGGTCCCGGTGACTGTGGCAACATCCTCTACCGGCAGGCTAAAATTTAGACCGAAAACGCTCAAAGCGAATAGATTCCTCGATAAATAACGCTCAATCGCATATCAAAAACATTTTTAATTAGATTAACCATCCGGAAAAACTGACTTACCCGATTGTCCCAGAGCCGCAAGTCGGTTCCATGTGTGGTGGAAAGCAAATTACACGTTAAGGGAGCCCATTTCGCCTGTTCGGCACCACCAACCACTTGCAGCTGCAGGCTAGGCCGACGCAGATCGCGTAAATCCCAGCATTTCACAGGGTCACCCATTGAGCAAGAAAGCTGAAAGATGAATAAATTAAATGAGGAAGATCCTGCAGAACAAGGGCCAAAATGTCTTATTTCCTCTTAGCTTTCTTATCTCTTCTTCGTTTCGACCTCTACCTTACCGTGCAATGGAAGTAAATGACCAAGCAGACATTTGCCCAAACAGATGCTAACACTGGCACTGATAGTGGAACATGTCAAGGAACTGAACTTGCCAGCTTGCTTTTAGCGCTGTTCAAAAGACAGGGGAGGATTGCCCGCAAGCTCTTTTTCGAGCTTTGTAGTGCTTTAAAAAAATCATATATACCAGAGCATTGCGCTCATATGCACACCAATCAACATCCAGCACATTATAAGGATGGGCACAGGTGCAACCGAACAACTTTAAGCCACCGCTACCAGCTGCATAGATATCCACGAACTGAGCACTCTGCAATGAGCAAAATAGAGCCAAACGACGTGTGATAAGCGACACTGAACTGCACTAGATCTGCGGCAAGAGATGGAGCCCGGCTGGGAAAGTTATCAACAAACCACCACTAACTCATGGCCCGGTCTCATTCGCAAAACTGCCATTAGATTATCTACAACAGAGGGCCTTGCTAGCAGCTGGCACACTCCGTCATTCGCGCTGCTTCCGATATTTCAGCCTCTCGTAGAAACTGAATAACAAAGAAGGAGTGGCTTTCCATTTTGTCCGTGCAAATTACAACGTTGTCAGAAATGATCAAAGCATCGTAGCTTTTTTTTTTCACGTCGTAGTTGTGATCCGGCAGTAGCGGCATATCTAACAGTGCTAGATTAAAGACCACTAGTCAGAGATGTGTGTGTGTTTTTTTAAAGTCACAAAAAATTACCACTGAAGCAATGTAACTACACCGGATATCTGGAAATCTTTGCCAGCGCAACAATTTGACATCCTGTCGGTTTGTTTTGAGATTTTGCGGCGTTGATGTATATCTTTCTCCCTCTACAACCGACAAAATTCCTGGCCTGCAATGCAATACACAATTCGAAGCAAAACCTGTGTTTTACTGCACAAACATATCTGGGAGAAATTTTGATGCTTCCATGCCTGGAAAACAATCCAAGAAGGTCGAACTGCGGCCTCATCTGCGAAAGAGGATGAGTCCGGACAGGCG